AATCTCTGAGACATGGAAAGAGGCCTCTGAACTGGCTATTTTGAACAAATCCAGCAAGCTTGGGGCATGAGTACTATCCCTGTTGTCTGATATCTGACTATAGAAAAACTATAGTAAAGTAATATAGTATTTGCATCACCTGTCAGACATCAGATAAATGATGGCTGAAATGAACGTGATTTGGTGTAGACTTTCTATGGTTTTAAAAAATAGTAACAGCCTTGGCCGGGAGGGGACAAATCGAATTACCACTAATAATGTTTACTTTGCACTGACCAGTACTGCATGTTTATTTAGTATTTAAACCTTTAGTATTTGTTTGTCCATGGAACAGAGACATTAGTCACCTGAGTCAGACAAATTTCTGAGCTGACTTCCCAAAGGAGAGCACTACCCCTGTGTTCACCCCATATATACCATAACACTTCTGCTCTTAAGTGGCCAGCCATCTTTATTTTACAGATTTGTGTAAGTTTTCTGCACAAATGCAAGACTCCAGTCTGATTTGGCTGTCTTTTTTTCTTTTTCTAAACTTTCTTTTTTTAACTAAGGCAGCATATTGTCCTGATGGGATGCTAATGCACCTTTGTGTCTATTCGAACATGTGTCACATCTTGGGTTGACTCTGTAGTCCCAGTTTCTTCCTGGCAAAGACAATGAGCACAGTGAGCATATTAATAAATGTTACATAATAACAACTATTAAATGTTCCTTTGAAATCTCAAGCAGCTTTTTATCTTTAGCTCCTACTTTGAGATAATTATACACTTCCCTAAAGCTATTTATAGCTCCAATCAGGAAGAACAGCTGAAAAGAAATGTGTATAGAGTCCTGCCAAATCTTTGGTGAAAGTGATTTGAAATCCACAGAGCTATTGGAAGTGTTTTAAAATGGTATGTGGCATATGGATGTCAAACACCATCAATAGAAATCTTTCCCAGCCACATTTTCATGACAGGGGAAGCTACGGTACACATTTTGTCCATAGCACCATTATCATTCATTCACAGAGACACTGAGACCACACAGAACAGAGGCAGCACAGTTCCCATGCTGCCATACCCAGTCCTTGGCACATACAGTCCCTTGGAATGAGCATGCTTCAGTGACATCATGAGTCATGTCGTCCCTCTGTCCTTTGAAAAGCAGGGGTCTTGCACATTTACTCAAGACAACAGACAGTCACAGACCAGCCTTAAAGGAATGGGGACAGAGAGATTCCTCCATGCTATGAACTGGAGATCACAGGGTCAAACCCATGTATACACATGTAGACCATTCTTTCGGTTTTCAGGTCTAGCAAATAAAAATGTAGCAACCATTTCCACTGGGCACACTCATTCCCCACCTTACTTCATACATCAGGGGAAAAAATAAAACAAAATCAACAACCAGTATTACTTTCTCCTCATGTTAAGGAAGCAAGTCAGTAGAATGGATAACTGGACTGCAAGACTTACTACCTGGGTCCTGACTCAGTTCTCATAGCTTAGAGTCTATGACTTTTGCCCAGAGTCTGTTATCAGAAGGTTTGTTTGTAGACTTTGGTGGATACTACTCTGTGTAAGCAGCCATGAAAGAAGTCAGAGAAATAGTGAACAAGCACAGTGCCCCTCCCCACCAGGAATGGTAATATCCAGGAAATTGTGAACTGGAAAAGAAGGGGGAGATATGGCTGAGAGAGCATGTGTTTGTTACTATCAAATACCTGAGACATTACACTTCTGTACTTTATTCAAAGATCTCTATTTGGTTTTACTATGTTTTCATGAGAAGCCATTTGCCTCAGGGAAGATCACGTAGAACCTATTTATTGCCCAGCAATGGTAGTCTTCACATAGAGTAACCTAAAATATTGTGGTTTCTTACAATCTAAGATAATTACAGCTTTTGAGACTATACTGTAGGTGAAGTTGCACAAGAAAAATCTGTCTTTCTCCCTGTTGTGGAAAAATGTTTTCTGTGTCCTTCACAGATGCAAGGCTAATAAGAATGGTCCAGAAAGACGTTAAAGCAGAAAGAAATGCCTGCAGACAGGCAACTTCCCAAGACTCCAGTCCAGGAAGCAAAGGTGATAGCTATGAATTCCAGAACAGGTAGAGGGAGGAGTCTCAGCTTTTGGACTCTCAGGAAGCCCAGGCTGAGATCCTATTACTGGTCCAACCACTGAGAAGCAGTAATTCCTAACCTCACCACATCGGCCTATTTGGTTCTCTATAAACTCATCCTTTTTTTCAGTGTTTAGGCTTGTTTGATTAACATAATGAAATCATAAATAACTTAAAATTCCATTACTCTCCTCCATATCAACAAAAATGACTCCATTAAGGAGGGATAGAGAAATAGGCAGGTTGTAAAGTGTTTACCTTTCAAGAATGAGGACCCAAAGTTCATCCCCAGAACTCACATGGAAGAAAAAACAAAAAACAAAACAAAACAAAACACCACCAACAACAAAAAGAAAGTCAAGCTTAGTGGCATGTTCATGTCATCCTAACAATGGGGAGGAGGGGCAGGTAAATCCTTGGCATGAGTCAATTGAAATTCTTAAAAGCAGGAGCTAAGGCTTCTTCAAGGAAGAAGAAATTCCAGCAGTGGACACTTCCCTTTTGAACCAGTCTGTCTGTCCAGTTCTGCCCTTTGGCTCTGCATAGCCAGCTCTACAATTATGTCTTTTCAATAAATGTCTTAATCTCCTACTGGAGTTCTCTTTCTGGTTAGCTCTGACTCCACACAGCCACGGAACCTGTTTTCATTCTGCAGTAAAGCCAACTGCCTACATTGTGATGTTTCAAGGTAAAAATTGCTAGATCCATTATTTTCACAGATGGGAGTAGGCTTAAATACAACGTTACTCTCTTTTGCTTAAATCTCTCTTACCTATTTCTCTCAGAAGAAAACAGTAACTATACAGTCAATGTAACCTCCCTTGGTAAGTTTGAAGAAGAAATACATAAGCTGCATATGAAAGAGGAAGCCAGGTCCTCACATCAGATAAATACTCTCTGTATTTACCTAAAGGGACTTCTGGAATTGGAGTTGCAGCATGAATCATCTCATCCACATAGCAGCGTTCTCTGCTCCACAAATGTTAATCATTTTAAATGAGTCAGCAGTACATTTTCACAACTCCCCTGGACAGAATTTCCTCACCGTTTCCTAATACTCGTCGTCATCGTCCTTTGCCAGGTTTCATTCCAGGCAGAACTACTCTGAGAACTTCTAAAACTGGAACCCAGTTACACAAACAGACCCAGACTTAAAGTCAAGACTCCAAAGGGAGCGGAATTTGAAATGAAACTTGGATTTCCATTATTTGTAATAAAGTTTTCTAGGATGAAATGAAGTCTTTAAATCAAAAAACAAAAAAAGTCCACTTTAGAAATATTAAACATTTATTCATTTTCTTATGGTAGCTCTTTTCTTGGTTGTAATAAGAATATTAGCAAATAAACATACTTTTGAGATTTAAATGTTATAACCCCAAATTAAAAGTTTTTTATTCATTAAAGCCTAGGTACCATTTTAAAATAAATTAATTTTAATTACAAATGACAAGTACCTATAGATAGCTAAGAAATGTATTAACATTTACTTGCAATAACAAACATGTGCTTTGATATTTTTATTCATTATTATAAAACTGAGTTTTCAATGAAGGCAGTTCATCAAAATTATGGTTATGGAAATAAATTTGACTCTAGTAGTACTTTAAACTCAAATAAAAATAATCACAGAATAAAACAGCAAGCATGTGGAATATTTGTGATATATACATAGATATTTTCATGTAAACAAAGCAAAGATCAAAGAAATTAAGTATCTTTGTCACCAACAAAAGTATGAAGATTAAAAGATTATTTTATTTTACTTCATGCTTCAAGTGAACAACTGCTCTAAGCAGAGAGCTAGGCATTAGATGAGCCTTTACATTCCCCTCACTCTCTTCAGGAAATCACACATGATGAAGAGATGCCCTGTAGAGACATCTGCAGGAAAGAAATACTATACTAATTAGCCTTCTGGAAGTCATGACTTACAATTAGTGAGTCATTCTTGGACCCCTACTGTGAAACCATATGGTTCATCAGACTTTGCCAGTGAAAGGAAAGCTGGTGCTGGCCAAATCCACACCAGCTCACATGGAGACCATGTGCACAAACCATGTAGACTTTATTTCATTGTGGATCACCATTGGCTTCCGACACACGGCTGCTTTAAGATAAAACAGGCAATATTTAAATGATACACTTATTTTCTACAGGATGGTTTCATGGAACTATGCCCCAGCGACCATCTGAACCAGAATCAGACAAAACACTCAATATAATAAAAATAAACATTCTTGTGCCCAACCACTGACCCAGAGGCCCAGGAATTTGTATTGTTGACCTTCCCTGGGGGATATTCAAATGCCTACTAAAGTTTAAAAATCACTACTGCCAACTATTTGAAATTTCTCTTTACTCTTTTTTTTGACAACAAATATTTTCTTATATCTTTCATGCATCACATTAGCTAGGAGGAAAAATAAATAATTTCTGATTATGTCAGCCAGCAATGGTTAATAGTGGTATTTCCCCATCAAAAAAAACATGGAATAATTGGCAACATGCCTAAATTCCTTGATGGTGCACCATATTTTCTCCTAAAGCTTTCAAAAAGTACAAAAATATTTAAAGTGATCTGTAAACTGTCATCTGAACAGATTAGCCAGTGTAAAGAGAGCTGCTGATCAACGTCTCCTTCCCCATGGCTTCCCATGTTGGCTCAGCAGTCTCTGCAGAGCACTGGCCAAGTGTAGCTGCCTCCAAACCAGAAGAGAGTACCTTCAACTGTACATGAACAAGAATAGAGAATGTGAAACTCCATTCAACTACAGTCCCAAAAGGGTCTCAAGAGTTACCAGTATGCATCAATATACACAGTGGTGTCTTTCTTGAAAGTTGCATTTTCAGCATCTGTATTAATATCTGCTTCTAATCCAGTTTATATTGACAATGGAAAGCAAAAATGCATTTCAATGTGCTGCTAAACATCTACTACAGTGTTTAAGTCCTATATGATCCCAATGGACAAAGTCGTATTTACCTGTGATAAATATAAATTAGAAATTAAAGAGGTAGGCGGCTCTCATATGCAATGATCTCAACATAATGTGATAAATAGTGTACCCTAGTCCCTAATGCTGATGAAACAGACAGGAGATTTCCAACATGATTGCAATCGCCTCAAGAGCAGGACTTCCCAGGTCTTTGGTGCTGTCAACGAAGCGCCAACATCCCAATTCCTGATGACCATGCCAGAGCTCTTTAGACACCATATAAGAAAGAGCTAACAAAGCAAATGTAAAGTAATACTGGAGACCAGACAATAGTCCTGAAGTAGGCCGGGCTCTTCCAACTATGTTCACATATGGAAAGCAAAACAAAAACAAAAAACCCTCAGGGTTGGATAAGATATCAACAATTCCTGTAATCCAGCTTGGGTTTTTATAGTTGAGGAAGCACAGGCTTATTTTTCCCAATGGCTCACAAAGCAGGAAAATTCTGAAAAGGTGCTATACATCCATGGTAAGTGCTCCCTTAGCCCAGAGTGCAGTTAGAGGGCTACTTTTCAGCCCTGGTGGTTTTAATCTGCAGCTCCACCCTGCTGGCTATTTTATAAGGTGTACCACTAGTAACAGAGGGAAGCTGACCAAGGTCCTGGAGGTACCAGGACAGGCAGATACCTAAAGAAAAAGAATGAAAACTCCAAAACCTGACCTAGTAAAGTTAATCTACGCTCAGCACAGGGTTTATCTTCCCTTCTCTTGGGAAGACACACCTCTGAAGTTCACAAACTTCAGCTCTACTAAGGCAAGCACTGAGGCAAAATGTCCCACTACAGACCACATTAGAGTGTGCTAGACAGTTGGAAACCTCCAAAGCTGCCAGGGCAAGATCCACCCCCAGCTGTACTAAGCACTCAGTAACTGTCAGTCGCTTGTTCTATAGGTTGAAAAATCACATTATTTTCATATTTATATTGATCTTCAGACCCTAGCCAAAGTCATTTGCTTCCTTTAGAAACTCCAAGTCAGACACAGCAACTTCAAACCTTGCTTGGTCTTCATGGTAGCCCTGTCTCAAAAAGAGAAGAGAAGAGAAGAGAGGAGAGGAGAGGAGAGGAGAGGAGAGGAGAGGAGAGGAGAGGAGAGGAGAGGAGAGGAGAGGAGAGGAGAGGAGAGGAGAGGAGAGGAGAGGAGAGGAGAGGAGAGGAGAGGAGAGGAGAGAAGAAAGAATATGTAACATCCCCCTTGACTACGACAGGTTCAAAATGAATGAGGAGTCTATGTGGCACAATGGAGCAGCTGTATCTGCATCTCAAATGTTTGGAGCCCAGCTCTACCAAAACCTCTGGGCAGGATTTCTGTCCCTCGGAAACTTGTATTTCTTTAATCTTAAAAAGGAAACAAGCGATACCTACCTCACAGAAAGCCACCAGGGCAGAGCACTGCACAACACCTTGAATACAGCACCACTGCATAGTGGTGGCCTCTTCTCTCTGAACTTGGTGAGAATGTGCGAATCAGCAAGATGGCCACAAGTTGGACCAGCCACCCTCTCATTCTGCTCCTCTTTCCCTGAAATTTGCTATAGTGCTGTGCCTCCTCGGTGGTTCCCTGGTGCTCTGAAAACTCACTAGTGCTTAGAAAAACCCCTATGTATTTGTGTTCCTTTTAAAATTGTACATGCAGCTAAAACATTGTTTAATAAAAATAACCTACCTAGAGATCATAAGCACATGTCTCCCAAAGCACAATATGTCATATATAAAAACAATTCTAAGAACACAACTGAATTCATTTGTACATTGTCTCTTAAAGTGCACCAAAGTAAGTTGTAATAACCTTTAAAATGTCACCAACCTCCTTGGGTTTTGTTTTTAAATAAAACTAAGTATCTACCAACTGAGATGCCTAGGGATTTGATTCCAATATTATGGCAAAGAGCAGCAGTGTCTTGTAGGAAAGGAAAAGGAACTAATTAACTCAACCAAGCTTGCCTCAGCAGCATAAAAACAAAACAACAACAAAAAAACAAAAACAAAAACAACAAGAACAAAAAAACCACCTACAATTCAAGTTAACTGCAGGTTCCATGAAGCACAATCTTGATTCATGCTGCAAAAATAAAACCAGTCAACTAAACAAACACATCCCCGCAAAGCTTTCTTAATCTAGAGGTAACATAATGTGACCACTTTCCACTTTCTTACAGTGTACCCTTGGTTTCAGGATCAAAGTATTTACCATTCTTTTTTTACAAAACACACACACACACACACACACACACACACACACTATAAAAAAAAAACCCCAAAGTTTAGAAGCCATATGAAAAAATTTCAGTCAGTAAAGACCCATAATGACTCCAAATGTCTCAGAGTTACAGTATTCACAACACCGTCCGATGCTCCCCACACACATAGACAGCACTAGGGCGTATCCGTCGCCTTGTGTGACCAGGGAGACGTGGCAAGAACTTGAAGGACTTGGGCATCATGTCCAAGCAGGCATCATGAAACTTCTTAATCCTCCAGTAGTATATCAGTGGGTTCAACGCAGACTTGAGGTAGCAGAGCCAAAGTAGCCAGGTGCTAATCTCAAAGAAGTTGTGCCGATAGTAGAAGTGCTTACTGAAGGTTGCCACGAGGCTGTATGTGGTGAATGGGGCCCAGCAGACAATGAACACAGCAAAGAGGATCAAGATGGTGGTGAAGGCACGTGTTTTAAAGCCCATGTCGATGTTCATTTGGAAGGGTCTCTGTAGACTCATGAGACCAAGTTGCTGGCCTGGCTGAGGCATATTCCTTCTGGGTAGCTATGAATCCTCAAGGCATTGTGCCGAAGGGTGTTGAGGATGCCCATAAATGAATACAGTATCACCAGGAAAGGTATAAAGAAAGAAATTAGTGAGATCAAAATCACATAAGCCTGGTATCCAGAATTAGTTGTGTACCCAAACACACACTGTGGGGCTCGGGAAGGTATTTGCAAATCAGGATTTCCCACAGCCAAAGGAAAAGCTATGGAAAAAGAAGTAGCCCAGGAGACTGCAATAAGGACCTTAGCCCTGTATGGATTTAGCTTATCTTGCCTCTGAACTATAATCAGGAACCTATCAATGCTAATAATGAGCAGGATAGCAACTCCCTCTATCACAAACAACCAGAAAAACATAGCAGACAACCTGCAGAAGAATTTCCCAAATATCCATCTGGTGGTAAGAATAGTTACCAGGGCAAAGGGCATGTTCAGCACGGCAAGCAGCATGTCTGCAAAAGCCAGGCTGGCCAGAAGGATGTTAATGGCAGAGCGCATGGCAGCTTTTTGGTAAACCATGAGGCAAACAACCAAGTTTCCAAGGAAAGACACAAACAGAATAAATATCATTATAGCCGAAAGGATGATCTGAAGAGCTAAGTTTAGGCTCTTAAAAACTGCTGGTGTCGGGGTCATGGCTGTGCTGTTCACTGCTAAGGAACTAAGTCCCGTGCTGGTCATGGTTTCCAGGCTATATCTAAGCAGTGGACCAGGACTAGGATGTTGCAATGGTGGAGACACCGTAATATTCACATGGGAGTTTTCATAGACTACAAATGTTGTGTTGGATGTCCCAGTATGGGATGCAGTCAACACCGCTGAGACAATCATGATTTTAGAAGGACAGAAGGTTCAGGCAGAAATGTGGGTCCTCTTCAGGCATTTCGATACAGCACTGTAGGGTCAGGTTCCACTGATGGCCTCGGATACACATTCGGGAAAACGGACAGAGTTCCATCTTCCACAAAAATCCTTCTGCCTGAAAATAAGCCAAAACAGAACATGAGATCAGATTAGTAAATACATTTTACTCTGTTGTTTCACAACATCTAAGTACTAGCAAAGACTGTTCATCTCTGCTTAGCTTCTGAGGTCAGACGAGGCTAAGTATGTTCAGGACAGTATGGCTGTAGACACATTTGACATTTTTAATCTTTTATCATATAGGATCACTCTTTTTTCCTTCTAAACCTCTAAAATTGTGTTCCCTAACCTAGTCATCATTAAAATGCCACTGTTATATTGTTTTAACGAAATATAATGAAAATTTTATAGTATTTGTAGAGAAAGAAAGGTGGATCTTGAAATATATTAAGGAACCAAGGACAAAGGTCAAAACCTATAGTTGGTGCTTTTTAAAAGATTGCAGCAGCCCTCTCTAAGGCTCAGACCATTGAGGAAGAAGGGGCAGAAAGACTGTAAGAGTCATAGGTTGGTGGGGACCTGAGAAAAACTGTCCTTTTGGGCTCGGCAGGCCCACTGCACTCGTGAACTCACAGTGGCTATAGATGCCTGCCCAAGACCTGTACAAGATAAAGCCAGTCAGCGTTCTATCGGGAAGGGAGTGGGAGTGGGCTCCAGAGACCCCATTCCTAACTGAAGAGCTATGGAGAACTGATAGCCTTTGTTGGAGGGAAAACAGTGTTCTTTAAGTGTTCCATGATCTAGTGCCCTACATCCAGAAATAAATGGACAGCACAAGCTGGACCCAATGGGTTATTGAATCAAATAAAAAAGACACGAAGTTTGGGGTACAGGGAAGCGGTGCTGGATCTTAGAGCATTGACAAAAGGAGTTGAGGTAAATATAATCAAAATACATTGTATGAAAGTCTGCAAGAATTAATAAAAATATTAAAAAATAAACCTCAAAAAATGGCAGCAGTATCATAGCTTTCTACGGTCACTATTAATAAACATTTCACTAATTCTCTTGGGAGAACAGACTTCAGCAGTTCTTTCCTATGGGTTCTTATTCCATCTTTACATTAGCATAAGGCTTGACGGCAAAAACAACCGAACCTCAATTCCCAGCTTATCATGTGGTAATAACACACTTTGACAGCCCTTAAAAGTAAGAACGGGGTTATTTTCAACTAAGATCTGAAACTCATCTTAGTTTTCTTCCTCCCTTCCTCCCTCCTGCCTCTTCCTTGTTTCCCCTTTCTCTCCCTCCCCCACCATTTTCCCTCTCTCTCTTCCCCCTTGAGATCTTTTCTCATAGCAATCCCCCCTCCAGAAATTCCCCACCAAACACACTAGAAAAAAGCCATTCAGATAAAGGAGTCATTTTTCCTACGCTCTTTCTCATATTCCCTTTTCTTCTAAACCTGTCTTTTTTTTTTTTTACTTTTATTGGTTCTTTGTGGATTTCACATCATGCATTCTGATCCCACTTATCTCTCTGTCCCCTCACATCTGCCATCTGCCCTTGCAACCTCCCCCCAAAAACAAAACAAAATTTAAAAGGAAAACCAAAAACTAAACAAAACAAAATAAAAATAAAAACAAAAAAAATTAGAAGAATCTCACTGTGGAGGCTGTAGTGTGTCCTGTTGAGTCACACAATTTACCCTTTAGTCCATCCATCTTTACTTGCAAGAGTCATTGGTCTGGCTCAAGGCCTCTGGCTTCCTACACCACCTGTCATGGCTCTCACCGGGGCTCCTCTTGGATATCCTGTTGTTGTCCTGTGTCATGGAGATTCTGCTGTTTTGGATCTGTAGGTTGGTCCCCTTCACATGTTCCAGTAGTTCATAGATGAGGCAGAGGTTAGGTGAGCAAACTCCTAGCCCCGGTTGGTAACCGGGTTGGTCAGCTCCCTAACTTTCCCTCATCCCTACCCTGGTGAGCTCTCCAGCACTGCCTAGGCTAGTTTACCCAATGCAGCCTACAGCAAGGAGTGGGGCCAGTTCTCCTGCTTTGGGGCCTTCAGATCTGGGTCTCCCCTCACTCTTAATCGCCAGGGTCCGCTCTACTGTTTTGCCCAGGCAAGATGCAGGGCCCTCTCTCCTGATTGTTGTAGGGGGCATATGAGGCTCCCCTGCTCTCATGCCCTCAGGGCTGGCTCACCTGTAACCTGACAACAGGGTCAGCTCTAGTGGCAGGTAGGAGGACAGCATCTTTTCCTCACCTATGCCACTACACAGCAGATGGGAGGGTGGGCGTGGGTCAGCTCTAGTGTGCTGCCCAGACGGGAAGCAGAGGCTACTTCCTTGTGCACTGCAGCTAGTGAGGGTCAGGGCTAGCTCTACCACTCTTGGCACCCCAGGGCCAGCTCTCTCACCTGCCGCAGGTGGTAATGGGAGTGAGGAGGGCATCTGTCCCTCACCCATGCCACCACACAGCAAATGAGGGGGGACAGCTTCAGCTCTCACGCCCTCAGGCTCGGCTCTGCCTGCATCCTCAAGCACAGGGTCAGCTCTGGGTGCTTCCCAGGGGAGGTGAATGCCTATGGTGAGGGGTGGGGCCATCTTTCCCCAGTGCAGGGGGCAAACTCTTCTTCCCTGAGGGGTAGGCCCAGCTTGCCTGCAATAATATCCAGCAAAGGGCAGGGCCAGTGAAGGGTGGGGCAGGCTCACCACAGCATGGTTCCAATGATCCCTGTGCTAATACAGGCCATGGATACCACCACAGACCCCAGCTGCAGCAGGACCATGGGACCCAGACATGCCCTCAGTAGCAGCTAGGCCAGATGCCACCATGGCTCCAGTGGCAGCACAGACCCCTCAGATCATCATGACCGCGGTGAAAGCATGGTCCCAGGTGCCTGGCCATTCACCAGGCATCTACAGAGCCCTCGGTGGCAACTGGAGCCACGGACATCACCCTGGACTCTGGCCTTGGCAGGACCACTGACCTAGACATGGTCCTAGACCACCGCCCATGCCCAGATGTCTCCATGGCCCCAGGTGAAGTGTAGTCCTCGGACACTGCATGGTCCGAGGTCACCAACCAGACCCCAGTCATCAGCATGGCCCTCGGTGACAACAGGAGCCCGGGGCATCAACTCAGACCCTGGTTGCTGTAGGGCCACAGACTCAGACATAGCCCGCTACGGCAGCCCTGGCTCAAAATGACACCATGGCCCAGGATGACAGTGCAGGCCACTCAGATCAGGATGTTCCTGGTGGCAGCATGGCCCTCCAACACCCTTATGACCACAGGTTGCTGCCCAGGCCCCGGGCATTTATGTGGCCTTTGGTGGCAACATGGGACATGGACATCAATACAGACCCTGGCTATGGTAGGGCCACTGACCTAGTCATGGTCCTAGGCAGCAGTCCAGGCTGGGATGTCACCATTGTCTCAGGTAGCAGTGCAGGCTACCTGAACCAGCATGGCCCCTGCAGCAGCATGGCCCTCAGACACCAACATGGCCCCAGGTGGCAGCCTAGACTCCAGGGCATTCGTATGGTCTTCAATGGTCTCAGGAGCCACAGACATCAACAGAGACCCTGGATAGGGCAGGGCCATGTACCTAGACATAGCCCTCAGCCACAGTCCTGGTCCTGACAATACCACGGCCCCAGATGATAGCCCTGGCCACCCAACTCAGCCTGGTCCCGGCAGTGGCACAGCCCTCAAACAGCAAAGTGGTCACAGGTTGCAGTCTAGACCCCAGGCATCCACATGGGGCCAGGACAGCAACATGGGTTGGATTTTTGTCAATATAGTTATACAATAAACTAAAAAGAATACGATACATAAATGTAATGTCCATTAATAAAGAATGGGCCAGGGACAGCAACACAGACTCTAGCCACAAGCCTGTCCATTTTCATCATTTCTTTCTGATATGCAGACTTCTATTTCTTCTCTCCAAAGACTGAATTGATACTGTTAGCAATTTGACAGGAGACGCTAACCAAATAATAAAGATGATATTAAGGAAGATAGGGAGAAAAGTGCCTGAATATTCAGAACATATTCAGAATATTTACAAAGATTTGGTTATCTTGTCCCAAAAACTTGCTTACCTTTTACTTAGCCTTATTGCCAATCTCTCACCAATTTATGAAGCCCTCAATCTTACATAAGAGCTTTCTCTAATCTACAACCCTATCAACCCACATTCTGACATGGCTTCTCCCTTCTGCTGTTCTTAACTAGGGGATAATCTCTTCAGTTACAAAGGGACTGGATTTCTGGACAGATTCCGTCGACAAACCCTTAAAAGGTTAGAAAAATTAATACACAGAAAATCAAAACAAAACTACAATTCACACATTGTATGGCCTTAGAATTAGTCATTGATGTTTAAGGGTAAATGTCAACATTTTGTTTATCCATTTCTTAGGGTGTGAAGGGAAGAGACAGGATCTCATTTGTGAGAGCTAAGATAGAGCCCTATAGCCAGATCATGCTTTTTCTACTAACTTTGCATCTATAATCCACTGTCCTATGTAGGACTGCTTTTATAAATAAGAAGAATAGCACTTACATAAAATACTGATTCTACTATTTCCTCTCACTTTATAGTTTAATTTTTGTCGTTACCTACTAGATTTTATACAACGTCACATATTTCCTCTAAAATGCAAATAAACCTTGACAACATGTTACATTAAATTAGTGACTATCAAAGTCTATAATCACAAAAGGGCAGTTGGAAAGGAACAAAGATTATTATAGTTTTGCACCATAATCTTGTCAGGCTATTCAGAGAGACCCCAGTATGCAGTGTTGATATTATGTGTAGTATAAGATCAGTGTTGGTACAGACCTACCTCCAGAGAAAACTCTACATAGACAAATAGGTATTTTAATCCTAAAATAACAACTTAAATCATGTTTGGCCAACTGTGTTAAAACTGCATTTCAGAGATGGCAAGATGGCTCAGTGAGTAACGGCGCTTCCACCAAGCCTGGCAATGTGAATGTGACCTTTAGGACCATGTGGTAGGAGAGAACTGACTCCCACAAGTTGTCCACTGACCTGCACAGGTGTTGTGTGGCATATACATACTCCCCCACATACATGCATACATTCATACATACATACATACGTACAATAATTAAATAAGCAAATGCAATACAAAATTTTAAATTCTATTTCAACAAACATCTAGTGAATCTGCAGTAAGTTTGAAATACTTAATGTCCTTAAGGCTGGAAGTATAGTGCTAGAGCCTCGCATGCAAGAGGCCCTAGATTCAACTCCCCAACCAACAAAATTAACTGACTGAAAACAATTAAATTAGATTTAGCTTGGGTTTTTTTTTGAAGATGAAGAACAACAATTAAAAATAGAAAGAAACGAGAGGCTGGCCCCCAGCTCCCATCTTGCTCCGGACGTCCCTTTTGGAACAGTCGTGAGTACCCTTCCTTGCCCCAGACCCCATCCCTGGGCACCAGCCACTCCAGGGAAGACCTGCCCAACTCGG